CCCCCCCCCCCCCCCCCCCCCCCCCCCCCCCCCCCCCCATCTTTAAGAGGCAGTACTGGGCTTGGGGCAGATAACGACCAGTTGAATGCAGGTGATTATAGAATGTAACTTGGCCACATCTGACCTCAAAACCCGGGGAAGCTGGGCAGACCACAGCCCCCACGATTCGTCTTTGGAACTCCGGCTCTGGGATCATGGGATCTGTCAACGAGAAGGGATATTTGATCTGCAAACCTCCGATTCATGCGACACGTCCCGGGGTGGCTGGGAGGCGGGCCGCACTTTGGGGAAGCTCGTCCAGCGGCCCCGACCGCTTCCTCTTAATTCTTCTGGGTGCGTGAGTTCCCCCGAGGGTCTTTTCTTCTGTGACCCTGCCGCCTTCTCACATTGTTCTGTTTTTCTGACAACAGCCGGTTGCCCAGGCAACCCCCTGGGGAGCCCGAGTCAGACCACGTCTTCCCTGCGGGGAAGTTGAGCCCTTAACCCATCTCTGCATCCTCCACCAGCCGCCTCTTGGCGTGACCTCAGAACCCGCGCGCCAAACCCCAGGCAAAGAGCTCCCCTTCCCTGCGGGGACCCTTCCCGGGCGCTGGGCTGGGACCCCGAGCCAGAGCGGCCCCGAGACCTCACGCCCTCCCAACCCTTCCTAACAAACACACACAAAGTGCCCAGGTCCGTGGTGCGGAGCGGCCCACGCGAACAGCACCCAGAGAGAAGCAGAGCGTCCCCCGCCGGAACGCCCTCCGCCTCCCCTCGTGGGCGCCTCCCCTCGTGGGCACCCCGTCCCCCCACGTCCAAAAGGGCAGCCGTTCTCCTGACTTCCAACCAGCACAGCTTTCTTCTGCCTGTTGCTGAACTTGATACAGACCGAGTGGCACAGCGTGTGCCGCCGGGGGGCCTGCACCGGCCGCCATCAAGTGGGTGAAGCCACACACGTGCTCACGCTCCGAATCGCGTGGCCCGCTGGCTAGTCCGACCCTCTGGTCTGTACAGATGAGAGCACAGAGGCCCAGAGCGGGAATGTGCCTTGCCCGAGGTCACACAGCAAGGCTAGCAGCCCGGTCTTCAGACTCCACGTGCGTTCAGTGGGCTTTCCCTGACCCCGAACTGCTGGGGGGCCGTGGATCTCGAAGCGTGGCCAGGGGACCGGTGGCATCGACGTCACCCCGGACGCTTGTTAAAATGCGCATCTCCAGGTGCTGCCTCGCACCTGCGGAATCCGAATCCCGGAGGAAGAGGCGCTGGGGCTCTGCCTTTTGGCGAGCGGGTCGGGGGTTTCCTGGGCTCAGGGAATCCCTGCGAACCCCGAAGGAGCACCGTGCGATTCTTCATTTTGGCCACTAGGGGGAGCCAGCGCCCCAGAGACACAGCCTCGCGCCCTCAAGCGAGCCCCAAACGGCGAGTTTTACCTGGCGGCTCCGGGGAGAGCCTCACGGGACGTGACACCAGTCGGCAGTGTTCAGGGAAAAGTACTTTTGTTAACACGGGAGGCAGGAGACCTCGGTCCCCGTACCACGGGTCCCTCCTGGGCCCCAAGCATCCCACCTGTGGCCCCAAGTGGCCGTGGCCTCGGCAGTGCCCTTCGCTTCTGTGAGCTCCAGATTCCGCCCTACCCCCCCGTCCGCAAGGCAGGGCTGTCTGTCGCACCCTCGTGGCCTCTGAGTCCCCACCCCCGGCCTGGATAGTTCACAAGACGTCCACTGACGTCCTTAAGACATTAGGAAACGCGAGGCAGTGTTGTCACACTGTGTGACTGGAGGGTTCTGTGCCTACGTGTGAGGTCCGGAACTGTGGCAGCCACCTTGGGCCCGTGAGATCCCCAAGGCAAACATGATGAGGACGGTAATGCTAAAAACGGAGCCGAGCCTGGAGCTTCCCTCCCTCGGACCCTCTAGCGAGGCAAGTTAAGAAATCTCCTGACGGCTCACTCCAACCGGGACTCCCCCGAGTCCACAGCGGGTCAAGGTGTGGGGCGCGAGGGAGCTGCCCGGGAGGTGGGTTTCTACGTAGTCACGCAGGGGCCCCTTCTGCGTCACACCAGCATGCTACCCGCTGCTTCGGTAAATCAAAGAAGGTTCCTAGCGCCGCGCAGCCCGCGGCTGGCCTGTCTGTAACGGACACCGTCTCCTTCCGCGGGTTCCGCCACCCCCTGCGTGCAGCCAGGAAGCTCCCACCTAGAGCCGCCGGCGTCCTACGCGGAGGGCTGCCCGCCCCGGCCCACGGTGCAGTGAGGGAACCCAGGCACGGGTACAGGCACCTCGTCCTCACCGCCGGCCGCCTAAAGCTCCTCTGATTACGCGTAGTTGTCATCTATTTTTGTTTTCCACTCTTTCCTATCAATTGAGCACGTATGGATACACACACTGTCTTTTCACGGGGACAACTAACGCGGGGGATACAAGCTCAGAAGCCCTCATCCATCCCTGGCGGGTCTCCCAAGAGCCCCTCTCAAATCTGGATCCGCATAGCATAAACCTCATCTGTAACGAGGAGACTGAGGCTCAAAGGGCTCCCCTGCCCGAGGACGTGCGGTGAGAGCGGCCCGGCTGAGGTCGCCTCTCCTCCGAGTTATGTCACGTCAGGTCGGCGAGCCACGTGCTGAGAAGGCGGGCTCAGGGCCCTGCATTCACGTGCTTCCCAGATAGGAAGGAGAGAGAGCGTGAGAATCCGGGGAATAACTGTCCCGGTGTGTGAAGACGGAGCCCAGTCCCTCCATGCCTCTGGAGCTGTTTCCGAAGACGCCGGACCGAGGCTCCCTCTGAAGGGCGATTATCTGGTTGCAAAACTGGGATCAGCTCTCCCCTGAAATAACAGCCTTGGTCTCCTTGAGCGGAACTGAGGGGCAATCCCGACTACGGTCAGAGGCCCTGTACTGCTCCCCGCTGACCCGCTTGTGATCAGGGCAGGGGTCAGAATCCCCAGGATTACCTCAGTCCACCCTCCAACATCACAGCTCCCAAGAACCTGATTGCTTCTCCCGCTGTCCCACCCCCGCCCCACGGGGCCCCCTAAACCCTTCGCTTAGGAGCGACACACAGCCGATTTAGAAAGGCACAGAGCAAAGTCGGGCTAATGACATAAGCCGTGATCGTTGCCCTTACCGGCACTCACGCCAGCCCCGCCCCACGTGCCTCAGCCATCTCGTCACTTTTCTCAGCCTCCCGAGGCCTCTGCCCACCCCCC